GAGTATAAAGATCAAGGCCTAGCTGTGATGGCCGAGCGGTTAAGGCGTCTGACTCGAAACATGTTTAAATTTGTATTACGAGTTATCAGATGGGTTCTCCCGCGTAGGTTCGAATCCTACTCGCAGCGTAAATTTGAGTTTTTTTTTAAATATTTTTTCATTCAGTTATGTTACAAATCTCGGCAAATCGTGATGCTAAATTTAATACTCGATCATTCATATTAATAATAAATTATTTTATATTCTTTGATACGTATTAGTTACTAACAATCATACAGTAAAGAAAGCGAATCATTTAATTAGATAGTACCAGTTTGAGGTTTTGAAATTTAGCCGATTTGACTGTAGATGACAAAGATTCCTATCGTGACTACATTGATAAATGTAAGCTATGATATATACATATATATATATTCTAACAATGTTGCCTTCAGTCATCATATGTATTGTTTATTAATATTGTTTCATGACATTTGGCGAAATTCTGGCCACCCCATTGGTCTAACATGTTTATTTATATAAGAAATCCTTGATGTTATCAAGAAAAGTAATTTAGATAAATGTTTATTAACATAAACATCTTCTTTTATTATAAATTTATTTTTATATAACTTCTTGTTTTCATTTTGGATTTTATAAATCGTAATTTTTTAGATTAATAATCATGGAAGATTTTGATATGGATGCTGATGATATTATCGAACAAGAGAATAATAAATCTCCACAGAAAAAATCTCTTCAACCAACAGGCATTGCAATGGATGCACTTACTGGTCTTCTCGATAGTTATTCAACAACAGAAATGAAAGTAAGATAATTCTATTATTGTATCAATCATTTGAATGTATCATGTTTTCTTTTTCCATAGAATTCTCGTCGTTTAGCTGCATCAATACCATTACAACAACAACAAAGTCATTCATCATCTGTAAAGTTAACAGCAACGATAAATACTCCAGCTCGTTCGACAACTATTAGTCAAGCAAGTACACCAAATGTAGCAACATTTCATGCTCGATCAAATAAAGCTGAAATTATTGTTGAACATATTGGAAATCAATCAACTAATAAAAATACGAATCAAACAAAAAAGATACCTATTATTCAATTGAAATCTTTAGTTAAACCTTATAAATATATGTATCAAACAATGTATAAACGTGCTAATGGTTAATATATATATTTATTTATATGAAATATTTATCTGGTTTTTTTTTTTCTTATAGTACTCAATAAACAAATAGAAGAATTTGAAGATTTATTTTTAAATATGATTAATAATAAAGAAAATGAAAAATCAAATATTATTCTTTATCCAATTGGAAATCCTGTTCAAGTAAAAAAATTCGTTCAAAAAACAAAAATCTATCTTGTATACATATATATATATATTGATTAGGATGAGGTATATCTTGTCGGTCGTATTGTATGTGATTCAGCTGGTCAATTAAATAGTCAATCGACAGCACTTGAAGGTTCATCTCGAACATCGAAATGTAATCGTGTTCGTCTTGATGTTTCATCATTACCTAATTATTCATTATTTCCTGGACAAGTACATTAGAAAACAAAAATAATTTAAATAAAACAATTAATTTTTCTTATTAATCTAGATTGTACTTGTTTCGGGTATTTATACAAATGATGGATGTTTTCATGCTAAACAATTAATTGATGTAAATATATGAAAAGATAAAAATTTTTGAAAAAAAGAAAATTTCATATTTAATTCTTTAGCCACCATTAATTTCACATGAAATTGAAACAAAAATAACACATGATTTAACTTTTATGATTGCTGCTGGTCCATTTTTACTTGCTAATGGAAATTTAAGTGCATTTGATGAACTTCTTCGACGAGCAGAAGATGATTCATCAATTCAAACATTAATTTTGGTATTCTATTTTTCTTTTCTCTAAAAATATATTTTATTTTAACTAAGAAATTCTATTCTAGCTTGGACCATTTATTGATGAACGTTCATCATATATACAAAATTTACAGGATAAAACTTATGAGCAACTATTTAATGAAATAATAGAAAAAATAAAAAGGTAATGGATTTATCTATGAAACATTCTAAGCAATATACATATATATATATATATTGGCATTATAATACGAGAAACGGTTTCGCAAGATGAAAGTTCTTTTTGAATCTTTTGCGAAGACAATGGATTTTAAAAAATACTATCTAATATAGTATCAGATAAGAAGACGTCTAAAGTTCTCTTCTTTCAATTACTGAAAACTGCAGATAACATGCTGTTGTCGAGTTATTGAGTTTACACCCATCCGTCTTTAATTCTAATGCGGACATTAGTTTTGACTTCTCTTTCGAATATTGAGTCTAGATATAATCAAATAAATTGATGAATATATTTATGCCGATAGATTTTTATTTTATTGCTCAAATTTGATAATAGTACTCTATAGATTCATAAAAATTGATCATACCTCATTTTTGACCAGAACTTTGAAGAGTTTGTATTTATTCCAGTGTTCGAATAAAAACAATTCTTATTCCATCATTACGTGATATTCATCATGATTCAATTTATCCTTTATGTCCATTTTCAATTAATGAAAATAAAGATTCGGTTTGTTAAAATTTAAGAAAAAAAAAAAAACTTAAAAAATAATAATTTAATTTATATTCTTAGACAATTCTCTATGGTGGTGAACCATCATTGTTATCAATGGATGGTCTTCAATGCGCAATAACATCAACAGATATTCTTTGTCATTTAAGTTCAGAAGAAATTAGTTTGTACGTTTAAATGAAATAATTTTTTTTTTGTAAAAAATTATCTTAAATAGAAATCAAACAACAGAACGTATGTGTCGATTAATTCGTCATTTATTTCAACAACATTCGTACGTATTCGAGAAACATAAAAAGTTGTATATTGCAATTTATTAAATAACTCCTCTTCTTCGAATAGATTCTATCCATTAATTCCACCAAATGAATCAGTTTCAATTGAATATGAACAGGCAATAGAATATGCAAAAATCGATTCATTACCTCATTTATTTATTACTTCATCTGATCTTCGACCATTTATTAAGGTAAGACAAAAATAAAAAGCATTCAATATTTTCAGTCTACTTTAATCAATCGATATTGTTTTCAATTAGCGCTATGCGTCAAAAGTATCTCATGAGGGAATTCTTCTAGTTGATAACTTCCGATCGAGCTCATATTTTACTAACTGTTAGAGCCTATAGTACAGATAAAAGCTCTAAAATGATATGTACTATTAGCGCTCTCTTTTTGAGTTATGACCATTTTATTACATTTTCAGCCAATTGTAAGATATTAGAAGGAAAACTGAATCCAAGAATTTTAGTCTGAAATTTTATCCAAGAAATAGATTCCATAGCCTATAGAATATCCTGAAAGTTTCAGCAAAAACGCACACTTCTATGTCAAGAGAACGGCGTTGCAAAACCACTGATTATCTCGCCAAAGATTCGAACAAGTCCAATTTTTTTAAGTAAAAAATATCTTGAGAAGAAATCATCTGTGTTTACTGAAACTTTCAGAATATTATAAAGACCATGAAATCTATTCCTTGAGTAAAATTTCAGAATAAAATTTCTTGATTCAGTTTTTCTCCTAATATTCTACAATAGGCTAAAACTTCAGTAAAATGATCACAATTCGAGAAGAAAGTACTAACGAGGGATCTACCCCGATTGATTCTGAGCTTTCGGCCTCATATTTCGACTATAGATAGGCCTCAGTGAGACTAAGAAAACATTTGAAGCGTTTGTGATTATGGACTGTTGGTCCAAAGTTATAGCCATTTTACTAAATTTTCAGCCTAGGGCACGGTATTCACAGCAAAGTCAAATGAAGGTATTCCTATTTGATATTTTGTTCTACCCATAACCGAAATATGAAGTCGAACGCCCAGAATCAGTTAGAGTAGTTACCTCGTAAGATACTTCTCGTCAACAGTGTATTTCTTTATTGTAGTCGATAATACTAGTTCTATACAGTACCTATTTGATAATTTCCTTATAAATAAAAATCTTGACGAGTCCTCTATCACTGAGAAATTAAAACCAATCCGATTGATTAAAGCAAGTCGGAGATATTGCATGTTTATATCGTTCACCTTGTAAATGAAATTTTTATTCTATTTCAATAGTTTATTGATTCTGTATGTGCAATAAATATTGGTCGATTAATTAAAAATCAAGATTCAACAATGATTAATAATGCAAGTGGAACATATGCAAAAATTTTTCTTAGTAAAACTGATGATGATATTAGTAATGGTACTATTTTAAATGATCATTTACATATTCAAATACTTCGATTATAATCAGATATTCAACATTGTATTTGTCAGATAAATATTTTTTCTTTTTGTTATTATTCTTGTATTAAAATTAAAAGATTTATTTAAAAAAATTATATTTTGATTTATTGAGTTTTAGAAAGTTTTTCGAGTTCATAAGCAAGAGTTAACCAATCGTAGAAAATTTTAATTACATCGGATGATGGTTGTTGCCATATTGATTGATCGATTGCTAGAATTGAATTTTTAAAAATAAGAATACAAACAACAACAAAA